ACTTCTTCAAGATGTATTTCCTCCCCCCCACCCCCCCCAAAAACCCTTAATTTGATCTGATATTGCATTAATTACCAAATAGCATCTGTATTAGTCTCTTATTGTTGCTGCAACAAATGAATAAAAAATTGGTGACTTAAAAGAATACAAATTTACTATCCCTACAATTCCAGAGGTCAGAAACCTCCCAAATCAAGGTGTTGGTAAAGCTATGTTTCTTCCTTAGTGGGGGAGGGGCCCAGGGGGAATCTGTTCTTTCCTCTTCCAGGCACTAGAAGCCAGCCACATTACTTGGCTTGTGACCCCTTCAAACCAGCAACTCTTTGACTCTTTTTCTTGCCACATTCCTTTCTCTTCCTACTCTGTTAGAAGAGATTCTCTACTTTAAAGGGTTCATGTGATTAGATTGGGCCTACCTGTGTAATCCAGGATATTGCCACATAACCTATTCACAGATTATGTGATTACAGTTAGGATTAGGGTGTGGACATCTTTGGGAGACTATTATTCTGCTTATCACAGCCTCCAAATCAGAAAGGTGGTGGTATTCAGGTGCTAGGCTCTATGCAGAAGATTATACTATGCCTCACTTCAATCAAATCCTTGAAGATTGTAGCAAAGAACCAGAATAACAGGGAAATTTGGAGTTGTGGCAACCTAAGGGATGTTTAAAAGAATAGGATGTTTAGCTTAGAAGAAAAAGACCTCAATTTAGGGGTCCAGTAGCAGTTCTGGTTTGAGGAGGCTTGAGATGACTGCTTCTTCATCAGAAAAATACCAGGAAATTCTGTCACATGACAGAAGATTGCACACCTGTGCTATGCAATCTCAGAGGACCAAATAGGATTAATACTGGAAACTTTTGGAAAGCAGCTTTTGGCAGAACTTAAGGTTGGGCTGTGTGGACATTCCTGATGTCTTTCAAGACAGCAGGCTAGAGATGGCATGGCTCCATGCCGTGGGGGTTCTTACAAAAGAGATTTGAGCATTAGATAAGGAATCAGCTGAGGCGTTGTGTTGAATTCCATTTAGCCCTCGCAGCCACTGATTCTGTGACCTAGAATTCCATTCATGACCTTCGGGTACCTCTGACTACATATAGCCAGAACTGGAGAAGCCCTGCCTCCCTACTGAAGAGTCATCTTTTGCCCTCCGTGAATCTGTATTTAAGGATCTGTCCCATACCAAGCAGAAGTGGTGAAGGAAGCTGGTAGAGCTGATGCCTCTTCAGAAGATGCACTAACTCACATTATTGTTGAGAACATATATTTAGAAGGAAAAACCAAAAACAGTAGCCATAGAGACAGTACAAAGTTTAAAATGCTACACAAGTACTTAAAAATACTCTCTTGTATACTCAGACATGAAAAGAAAACAACAATAGAGATAAGGCATGAAGAAAGTATAGATTCATGAGGTGGTTTGTATCAGAATCCAGGATGTTTTGACGAAGTTGAACATTTAAAACGAAGGAAACAAAAATAAAGAGTAGACCAGATTCTTTCATCTTAATCCAGACAACAATATACTTTGGGACTCTGTTTTTCTTCGGTTCACTTTAGGGATGGTTATTTGGAGTAACTTGTACAAGATATTGGAGCTGCTGTAGAAAGTGCTGTTTTTATGTCAATAGAGTGGGTAGCATGAAGGTACTTTTTTGTACTTTAAATAGCCTATGTTACTTTTTTCTTGATCTTTTAAGTATACATCTGAATGTCTAGGTTATACACTTGAGCTGTACTCCATGATACGTTAGACCACTTGACCGGCAGATTATTTTGTATCCCTAAAGTATCCAAAAGGAATTAAGAAATTAATTACAACTTTAATTATATCCAAGAAAACTCTTTGTGGTTCCTTATAGCTGTTCTTTATCTGTCTTCAAAGAGAGTCTTAAGTGTCTTTGGCTTTGGTGTTGTAATGGTCATTCTAGACTGAGGAGCTTGTTCAGACACTTAAGACTTTGGGCCAATACTGCCAATGACTTCATACCACTTCATCTTCTTTCCACTTCTATGGATTACCCAACAGCAAAAATGGTCATTCTAGCCAGCCCCTGATATTCCTCTCTACAGTCAGGGGAAGGTCAGCTATTTTTTGATCCCCACGGGAGAGAGACAGCTCCTCAATCAGTATCCTAAAATAGCTGGCCATTCTCAGCTGCTGGGCTGGAGTCCCTCCAGGGGAGAGCAAAGGGAATACAAATCCACCCACTGGGTGCGAGTGAGAAGTCACCAAAACATGAGCTAGGAGAGGCTTCTAAAGAAGATCCTGCCTACTCGAAAAATCTTTCTTATTTTTCTTATTTTTTTTTTTAATTGAGAAGCTACGTGTCTGCCATTTTTTTAATTTCTAAGTTTATTTAAAGGGAAACCAGTGGCTTGAAGATGAGACTAAATATTGCCATCTTCTTTGGGGCTCTCTTTGGTGCTTTGGGGGTTTTACTCTTTTTGGTGGCTTTTGGATCGGATTACTGGCTTCTTGCAACTGAAGTGGGGAAGTGTTCAGGTGAACAGAATGTGCGTTTCTTCTTCCAAATACTGATGTACTTGGTAGGGATGAGGGTAGCCTTATGTATCCTCTTGAAATCAGAGAATAGTGGTGGAGTGCCTATTTCTTCACAGAAGAGATAGGTGGCAAGCTACTGACCATCATTATTTGGGATAAAACCCATTGTTGTAATATTTTCCTGGATGTGATAATTTAGGTTATGTGCTTTGTGTTGATGGCAAATTACTTTCTTTGTGTTCTGTACAGATAGAGAATGTCACTTTCCACCATGAAGGATTCTTCTGGAGATGTTGGTTTAATGGGATTGCGGAAGAGAATGATTCCAGTATCTGGAAGTTCTGGTACAGTAAGTGCAATTTAGCTTTATTTCCCCTCATCATTAAAATAAGAATGAGCAGCTTCTTATTTAGTATAGATCACTTACAAGATAGGATTGGATTCTTAACTGTAGAATCCTGATAGAATGTCTTCAAAAGATTCATGAAGTGATTCTTTTTCAGTAAGTAGAAATGGCTATATGAATAATTATTTTATTTTCTAACCTAAAATAGGGGTCTGAATATTTATGGCAAAACTGAATTATCTTCTGTTTCCTTGCTCATATTTAAAATACACTTACCCTAACAACAACAAAAAACTAGGTATTAACTATAGTATTTTTCTTGTCTATTATTGCTGTGTCTGTTATTGCTGTGTTGCAAATAAATTAGTTTTATTTTTGGCTATCAACCCTTTAAATGTCAAATTTAAAAATTAAGATATAGAGATCAGATATTTTATATTGGTGGCTTTAAAGTTAAAAAATATCTTTTTTTTTTTTTTTTTTTTTTTTTTTTTTTTTTTTTTTTTTTTTTATAATGAAACTTACTTACCAGCGGCGGTGGATGAAAGCACACTGTTTGGGCTTTAACCAAGGTAGTGGGAATTATCAAGAAATGCCTGGCTTCTGATGTCTGTGTTCTCTCATAGAAACTTGAGAGTTCCTTTTTGATGTAGAATAGCTTGTTAAAAATACAGTACATTCTTTTCACTGTATTTCCTATATTATATTAATCTCTGAAAGTAAATTCATTGAAAATAACTAGCTTTTATCTTATTGCATTCAACAATAAAAGAACTATTTATTACCCTCAAGGTTATTGTAGGTTGAAAGTATTAGTCTCCTTATCCAATACTCCTGTGATATATCAAAATATGGCATTTACACACTAGTCAAGATTATATGATAAAATAATATACAATAAAGAGATGAGATCTTGGAAGATGTAAGCAAGCTGACAGCAAGTTGGCATATGTGAAAGGAACAAAGTAATGATGAAATGGAATTTTGCAAGAAATAGTTGGTAGGCTATCTTGTAGTCCTTTTGGAGAGGAGAATGAGCATGGAATCTGCCAATGAAAAGCATTCAGACTCTGGCAGAGTAAGTCAGACTGTGCAAGAGGAAGATTTTGCCAAGGACTTAGAGAAAGAAAGAATATTTCACTCCTCCTTAAAGGGTACACAGTGAAAGCTTCAAGTTTTCCAACAACATAAAAGTTTTTTTCTTGTGTTTTCTCCAAGTACTAAAAATGCATTTAAATTATTAGCTTGTATGACCTATCATTTCCAGCTTTTCCCTAAAAATAGAATATAGAATACATTTTATATTAATCAGAGCTGACAATGGGTAAATCTAAGTTTATTAGAGTTTTAAAACAATTACTTTTTGAATACTATGTGCTAGGCATCATGTTGGGAACTGGAGAATATGGCTGTGAAAATAAATGAAGTGTAGTGCCTTTAATCTTAAGGTGATATTAGGGGCATTCCCAGCATTGAACTATGTCATGAACTAGATGTTTTGGATGAATCTACTTTCCAGGTCCCCTGAGCTGCTTGATGTGAGTTCCCCCCCCCCCCCCCCCCCCCCCCACTCATCAGTTCTCTGAATCTGTTGCTCCCACCCACAGTTTATTTAGCTTGTGTGTCCCAGGTCCTGTATGTCTCTTGTTAGGAAGTCTTCACTCAGCATCTCAATAACAACTACCATCATTTGCTCTCCTTCCTAGCCAATCAGCCACCGTCCAAGAACTGCATGCACGCTTACCTGTCACCATATCCCTTCACGAGAGGGGAACACAATTCAACCTCCTATGACTCTGCTGTTAGTAAGTACCTTTGTCTAGAGAATGCCTCCAAGAAAGACTTGCTTTTCTGAAAAAAAACTAATTTCACATATATCATTTCAACATTTTCTCTGGAATGAATCTGTTATTAAATAATAAAATACCATTTTTAATACAATATTTATAACTCTAATAGAATATAGTCCAGAGTTAAAAGTAAAGCCATTGTAACTTACTTGCTGTTTATAAAGATTTTTTTTTAAGTGTGTCTTCTGGTGTGGAAATAATGATGTTTATTAGGAATAACTGCTTCTTGTGGGTTTAACAGACCTAAAGCTAGTCTTATAATGGGAAATATTATAATCCACACCCTGCTTTAAAAACATTGTTTTTGTAATTGTTACACATAAGAATATGATTATGCTACTGGTTTCCTGCAAAATGACTGGACTTCCTTATATGTGATATCTCAACGAAGAATAGTCAGATGTCATTAACTGAGAGTCGTGATTACCGAGTTCCTTGGTATTTACATCCTCTTTGTCCTATGGAAGGTACACAAACTTAGTTGGTATGGAAAATATATCATATATACTTAAATGTAGTTTTATACAAAGTACAAAAGCTCAATATGTCAACTTGATTCTCAGCTGGTTTCATGAAGTTTTTAACAAAGGGTGTTTCTTGTAATCTTAAAGCTAAGAATTGGTTCGTTATTTACCAATGTCATAAATAAAGACAAAAAATATTTGTTTTTTTTTCAAAGACAGTAAGCAGCATATTTACTTTTCTGAATAAACTTATATTAGTAGTCCCCAGAGAATCAATAGGAGATATATAGGTAGGGTGGGGGTTGGGAAGAGAGAATGATGGATGGATGGATTGATGGAGAGATTTTAAAGAATGGGCTTATGTGATTGTGGAGGCTGGCAAGTCTAAAATCTATAGGGCAAGATTTCAGGCTGGATAAGAGTTGCTGTTGTAGTCTTGAATCTGAAGCCTAGAAACTCTGGTAGAAGTTTTTCTTTAGGTAACCTCAGTCTTTATTCTTAAGGCCTTCAACTGATTAGATGAGGCCCACCCCCATTATGGGTAGTTTAACCACATTAATGCATAAAATTAACCATTGCAAATTATATGCCTTATAATTTTAAGTTTGTCAAAGGATGTAGCATTTGCTCATATCACACAATTAACATGACACTTTATGGAGTGGAAGTGGGGTCTGAATAGCAAACGAGATAAGCTGTCATACAGCCATGCTTATCCATCATAGTCGCTTGTGCTTAAAAGGGCTCTGGCTTTTGGCCTTGAGAACGAGCGGTGTGAATGTTCCTTCCCATTAATAACTGCAAAAGGCGCTTCCATTTGTCAAAGCATTTTGCATTGTGTGACATGGACCTTTTCACTGATAAGAGACGAGATCACATAGGAAAGTGTATAAACTATTCTGTCTCACAAAAAGTTGCAAAAAAGGTATCCCTTCCCTGACATTCTTACTTTTGTAAAATTGACCAAGAAGTAGCAGAGTAGAACAGGGTTGACTTTCCACAACATTAGGTGTTTGCATAGCTATTAGTGTTCTGTTGATAACTCATGTATATGTTCAGGTCCTGTGATGATCGGATAGGTATCATGGGCACTATATATGTTTAAATGAATCTACATATTTGAAGAGTCTGTAACTCAAGGAATTAGTGGAGAATTTGAAACACAAGGTGACATGATCTAAACATAATAATTATGATGGAGGTGGAGTGTATGTGCATGCCCCCAAAATTATACTGCAATTACAGTTAGAATCATTATGTAGCACTGCATATAATTACTGTGTCATTTTTGGATCTAATGACAAAACCATATTCCAATTTTTTTTTGTTTTAAATGATCACACTCCCCTTGGCTCACATATTGTAACTCCCTATTCACTTTAAGCAGCTTTATCAAACATTTTAGCAAACATGACCAAGACGGGAGGAAGGATGTCCTACAAAGAAACAGCTTATACACATTTCATTTACATTCATAATAACATACAATGGTATCTGACATTATATTTGGGTGATTTTTTTTTATGGTTCCCTTATCTAAGAGAAGGGCCATCGATATCATGAGAAGGGTTTTATCTGACTGAAAAGTGAGTGTTTCCTAGTTAGTGAGGCTATCTAGTCTTCACCAGACCCCGTATGTACTCTTGGGTTTCATATAGCCTCATAATTATCAGGCATTATACATTTGCCAATTTATCTTGGGTAAATTCAGTCTTGTTTGTAAAAATTGGATGCATTCCAGCCTGGCAAATATAATTGGTAAAATAGCTTTGTATTTTCCTTAGTTTTTGCAGTTACAGTTAGCCAGTGTCGAAATCAGTGAAAATAATATAGCAGTGTTTGATTGTTCTGGAAAGACTATTTTACAATCATTGAATGCTACTGATGAAATTGTTCTATTTCATAATATGGAGACTGAAACTCAGAGGAACCTTGTGACTCGGTTTTCACACAGCTGATCCTTGGCAGAACTAATGCAAAGGTCCAAGTCTCTGCATTTTATTTATTGATAATCTTATTATAAACTACAGTGAATGAAAAGACAAATCTTAGTATTTGCCGTTAAATCTTTCTAAGCATGAGTTTTTTAGTTGGATCTCAACAAAAGAGCAATTTTAAATTTATGTTGCCTTTCTCTCCTTTTCTATCTGATCCTGACCTGTGTATACAGTCAGGTCTAATTCAGTGTTTCCTTTATTTATTTATTTTTTGTCTCAAGTACACATTCTAAAATTCAATTATGCTCAACTTTAGTTATTTGAATGGTTGCCCAAGCCTAGAGAAGTTTTGAGGTAGGATTGTATACTTTGACTTCCTTTATTTTTTTAAATATTTTTTTAATGTTTATTTATTTTTGAAGGAGACAGAGACAGAGTGTGAGCAGGGAAGGGGCAGAAGAGAGGGAGACACAGAACCTGAAGTAGGCTCCAGGCTCTGAGCTGTCAGCACAGAGCCCGATGTGAGGCTCGAACCCATGAGCTGTGAGATCATGACCTGACTTGAAGTCAGATGCTTAACTGATTAAGCCACCCAGACACCCCACTTTGACATCCTTTAAACAATTCTATTGCCTTTTGATATCTGTCAGAATTTAGATTTTCTGGTTTGCTTCATGATTAAACTCAATAACAGTTCATTTATTTGGTATCATTTGGTGATGATGTATAGAACATAGATTAATTTTCAAGATAATTCAGCCCTTGAGTGAATTAATAATTTTCTTGCTATCCCCATAGCCTTTGGCCACACCTATATCAAAGTGCTCATTGCATGTAACTGCAATTGTTCACCTTAGTTTCTTTATTGTTTGTTGGAGCTCCCTAGAGACACAGGATGTAACATACTCATATTTATACCCCCAGAACCTAGTATAGTGAGTGGTACTTAGTAAGTGCTTAAATATTTCTATGGAATGACTAAGTGCAAAAATTCCTTGGCCTTCTTATTCAGCAGAATATATTGAACATGATGTGTCCCTTCCTTCATGAGTTGGAACAAATGCATACATAATGGCCTTCTTTGAGTTCTTCAGAATCAGTGTTTGCCCTCCTGCGTTAGGGCCTTTGTACCTGCCGTCCCTCCTCCCCAAATGCTGTTCCTCTTTTCCCAACCCCTCCTCCCTTCACTTCTCTAACAAAGCAGGCCCATTCTCTGAGCTAATACATACTTCAGTCTTCTTTCTTTGTTTTTTTTTTTTTAAATTTTTTTAAATGTTTATTTTTTGAGAAAGAGAGCATGAGCAGGGGAGGAGCAGAGAGAGAGGGAGACACAGAAACCAAAGCAGGTTCCAAGCTCTGAGCTGTCAACACAGAGCCCAACATGGGGCTCAAACTCATGGACCACAAGATC